AATTTGAACTTTTTGTGAGAGAAGCAAACACAATTATCTTTCATAATTTAAGCAACGAGGATCAATGTTGATTCTTTGTCTTGAAAAAGAATATTGTTTAAAAAATGGTGACTTAATTAAGTTGACATGCCTTTCTTTCCAAATGCTTGTTTCATTTGTGGAATTTAAATGCTATAATTATATTATGTATATGGTTGAATNCCTTAAAAGTATAAATATTATATATTCTCTATAAGTTTTTAGATTAATATTCTATCATTTTCACGATCACATCGCAATATTTAAAGGTTGAAAAAGATTTGATTAAGTATTTTATCAGAATTTTGATTTGGGTAAGTTTTTTTAATCCTTCTTTTTCTATTTTCCTAGCACATGTGGGGTTGTGTGTAATCCACATGTTTAATCAACTGAGAAATATAAACTTTCTTTTAGATTGAACTAGTGGTGTTATTTTGGTTTTGTAATGTGTATTCTCAAAGTTATTTGAAAGTTTCAGCATTGTAGAAGTTTTATGATTTTGGAAGTTAGTTTTCTTCCATAACAAAACTACCTCTAAATAAGGGAACTATCCTGAACTTTTGGATTGATATTGACAACCTTAGTTTAAAATGATTATGATAAAAAATTTACAAAAAATGGAATTGCTTGAGTTGCATTTAGATGAATTGAATCTCTTATTGGTACTGTGAATAAAAAAACAAAAGGTTTATATACGAAAACCTTGATATGTTTATTTAGACGGTGCATTTTGGTATTTAAAACTAAGCTAATAGGTTTAAGTGGAGGAAAATAGTTTTTAAAATTGTTCAAAATATGTTTTAATTATTTTGTATCTTTTGTTGTCATCTATACTCCTTGAAATCGAGTTGTGCTCAAGAAATGACATTAAATGTATGTATAAAGTATTGTTGGTCACTTAAGAAATATAACTTAATTTTCAAGTAATAATTTGAACTTTTTGTGAGAGAAGCAAACACAATTATCTTTCATAATTTAAGCAACGAGGATCAATGTTGATTCTTTGTCTTGAAAAAGAATATTGTTTAAAAAATGGTGACTTAATTAAGTTGACATGCCTTTCTTTCCAAATGCTTGTTTCATTTGTGGAATTTAAATGCTATAATTATATTATGTATATGGTTGAATCATGTAATCATTAAATGTTTGTTTGGAAATATATAATTGAGTTGTATCTTACACAATAATTGATTGAATTATGAAAAGGTGGATATCTAGGATGACAATATCATTGAGTTGAGGTTTATGGTATTTATAAGTAAAAAAAAAAACACATTAAATAAAAAATGTATTATAGTTTTATCGATGGTGTAAACCATATAAGTTTGGGTGGTGAAAAGCTAAATCATGTTCTTATACTAAAAAACTTGGTATGTTTTGAGTCTTAGTTTTTGTTTCGATTACATTTGTCTGAGGTCGGTCGTCCTTCGTTGGTATGCTTCGATCGACCAACTCTTCAAGTAATCTTTTTCGACGGTTGATTGACTTGCAGAAGACACTTCGACGCTCATATATGTTTTATAGAGAGGTTTATATTTTAGTAGGATAGAAGAAGATGATTGTACCACGTCCATTGATTAACCATTAGTGCAATATATTTTAGGTAATCAAACCCAATAATTAATCATTAATGTCGTACATTTCTAGAGCGTAAGAGAATATGACCTATTAATACATGTTTAATTATCTATAAATGACAATCAATTCCGATCAGTATACTTTTTATTTTATTATTATTATGATGCATCTTTGAAAAGGTTTTGAGTTGTGATGAATTTACTCCTATTTCATTTAGATAATGTTGTTATATGAAAGAGTTATTCATGAGTCTTGGGTAATTACTGATTCCTTGAATTTTATAAGTTATGATGTGAATGATAATATAATTAATAAATATATGTGATGTTATAATAATAGATAATAATATTATAAATTTGTAAATGTATTCGTATATATATATATATTCAAAAATTTATTTAAAATTAGTTTATCCTTATTCTTATTTTATTTATTAACAGATATAGTGGAAATTGGTACGAAAACATATAGTATGCAGATAATGATTCAAAATAACATGGAAATTTTATGTTTTATTTACTTTATTTTTTAAATATTATGGAAGCTCAATGTTTAGTTATATGTTATACTTATCTTGAAAAAGGATTCAAAATTAAAAAAAATGTTTAACTAAAAGAAAAAACAGAAAATGATATTTTATGTAAAAAAAAGTTTTGAAAAAATATTTATATACTGATAAATGATAAGAGAAGATTATCTAGGAATATTTTATTTTGAAGTTTAGTAAAAATAAATAGTATCTATAAAAATGACTGCACTAAATGTTATAATATAATGATTAAGCTAAATGTTATGATGAACATCTAACATTTTGAATCCAAATATATGAATAATATCCTTTTTATGTTGTGTTGTTTATCTTTATTTGTACAAATCTATAAAAAAACAAATACTTTATTCAAAAATTCTTTATTGATTTAAAAAAACATTAAGAGATGTGAAGCCATTCCAGAAAGATTTTTTAAATGTTTTTTATATGTCCAATTTGTATAAAGAGTACAATTGTTTCTGTAAAAGCAAAGTAGTATTTGACCTAATATAAAAGGCTATACACCTACATCAAACTGAATAACCGATCTTTTTCGAAGTTGCATATATAAAAAAGACTACACGAAGACAATAAAATAACTAATTGCATATACTTTTACATTATTATTCTCTTTAGCCGTCTAACTCTTTGAAAAAGAAAACTTCTTGTAACAAGTTTTTCAAATAAACTTTGTATCGACAAATATCATTTCTGAGAGTTTTTATATATGTATTTATTTTAAAAGCACTTTGTTGTTTTTTAATAATCAAAAGTAATTTAAAACACTTAGTTGTTTAACTCCAGAGAGTTAAACTTTTATATTCAGTTGGATTATCTTATGTAGAAGTGGTTATACTAAGTAGGAATGGTAAAACTCGTTATATTTTTTCAAAGATAATGGAATTCTTTAATTTTTAAAAGAGAACTAGATGTAGCTATTGGAATGAATCAGTATAAAAATAAATCTCTATATTATTTGTTTACTAGTTTTCTAAACATTTTTTAAAAAATTCTTAAGTGTTCAAAACTGTCTATAGACCAACTGATCCCTATAAAAAGAGTCTAACACTAAATTACAAAAAGTTTTTTAAACTATTCAAATTCCTTTTAGAGTTTACCTATTATTTCCCTGAAAAACTTATTTTCTTAAAATGAAAATAGTTTTTGTCACTTTTATTTTAAAGGCCTCATTCCAACACACGGGCTATAGCAGGTAGATGCATCAGTATGAGTTACCACTTTCAAACCTTCATAATCTATATAAACAGTAATTTTAGATTTTCCATAATACATTATTTTAAAATGAATTCACTAAAATAACCTCCTCAATAATAAAAATGAAAACTTTAGCCAATTTCATTTGAAGAGAAATACATTGTGGTCATCTAGGATGAAGAAAGTAAGATCCAAGTGGCATTAAAAATGAACCAATGCATGTTTATTTGTTTTGAAAATTTATTGCAGTGAGATGTGATGCATCATCGACAACATTGCATGAGATTTTTGAAGATTACTAACTTGCCAAAAAATAAATACAAAATAGCATTGTAGGGTGTGCATGAGTATCATAATTGTCACCTATCTTGTGGCTTATTTGCTCCACACGTTCTTGTCACTGGCCCAACATTGCACATTATCATTTATTTATTTACTTTTTTATTTCTTCCAATCTCTCCTACTTCTTCTAGGAATCCTATGCTACCACCTAGCTTTCTTCTTCTTCTTCTTCCCTTCAATCTTTCATTCTATGCTTTCATTTTCTTCATCTTTCTCTCCCCCATTAATAAAATTCAAAAAAGAAACAACATTTCTTTCTATTTCTGTCATTTTGCAACTCATGCATAGGTGCCAACAAATAGAGGAATAACACCCTTAAGGAATCTGACACAATTACATCCGAGTTCAGTCTCAAGCCTCATTCTAATATCAAAAAGATTGATTTTTTTTCATAAATAAATTAATGGGCATTTTTAATTTCTCACGTTACATCTTTGGTTACAAAAAGTTTATATCTTTTTATAATGGTAAGAGTACTTTCACATTATATTTTATGCCAATCTAATTGATTACCGAATAAACAATATTAGGAACTCATTTAATATATGTTTTGACATGGAAAGGTATTGTATTATAGTGTTTCAAACTTCATGCATGTGATAAGTTTTATTCCAATTTTATACTACTCGGATGCTATTTAATACTTTATACCTATTTTAATGGGATATTTTATTTCAATGCACAATTTTTATTCTTAATTTCAAATAACAACCACCATGAATTAATTGACTTCATTTAACATTATTTTTTTCTTTCTTTTCCTGTCACTTTTTTTTTAAAATACACACATAGAAAGGTGTGAAGTGACTTATTCCTTAGTAATAGTAATAATAACAATGTAAAAAAAATATGATTTTTATCATTATAATAATAATAATGATGATGTTTGGGTGATTCCTTAGTAATGAGGTGTATGAAAATTCCAATCAAAGCAGAATTTGTTTGGTAGGTGGGTTGGAGTAAGACAAGAATAGGGTGACAGGTGTTTAAAAAACAAATAGCATAACATTAATACTAACCAGATTTGAAACAAACTGTAAGCAAGTTGATTATAGTAATCAATAATAGCGGCTATTAAGCTGTCAAAATTAATAGCAGTATAATAATAATAAATAATAGCTTGATATTTTGCCCTACTTTATGAGATTTGATATGCTAAGCACCAAAGTAGGGAAACGAAGTTACAAATTTTGATTGATTTGAAGGCAGTTAGAAGATATTTTTCTGTGTTTCTGTTGTTGCTGTTTATGACTAAGTAAAACTTCCAGAGACTTCACAAGAAGAAAAATATTTTATACTATTTCGTTATTAGTATTCACAATATATAGATACTGATATGCTATTATGTATAAATATATAAACATAAACATATTAAATATAATTCATATGCGTGAAGCATGATAATAGGTAGCGATTGGTTTCAATCTACATGCTCATGATCTTGTGACACAGAACTAGTGATCCTCATTGGTCATCGGAGTGGCTTCTTTCTTTGATTCTTCTTTCTGATTGATAGGAAAAAATTCATGTTTTGGAGGCTGCATGATTGCTTTAGCATTTTTAATTTGTCCTCTGCAATCTGCTTATGAATTGAAGTGAATATCTGATGAGATTTCTCTTGTAGTTTTGACTGTTTGGTTTTTTCATCCATGATCTCTTGAATCCCCTAATACATGTTTGATTAGAGAGTTTTCTGTTTTGTTTGGTAGCAAACCAAAAAACCCACCTGTTTGTGTTTGTTAAGGAATTAGGAAAACACGCAAACATGATATAAAGTCTTCTTGCATATGCAACACAAGCCAACAAAACATCAATTAAAACACACCCAGAGAGGTACAGAGTGACACCCTTTAAGGCTTGCTTTAACTGCTGAGCTACTACAGAAGTGGCCCTCCTTTTTATTTGTAGCTTTGTACCTTCCTTTATTGTTTTTTTTTCCCTGACCATTTTTCTCTATTGTCTTTCTAACTCATATGTTAGGTGATTCTGTTCATATCGGGATTTTTGAACCACATCCAATCTCACTCGATCAACTCTTTCTTCTCCCCTCTTGTTGCCTTTCAATTTTCTCAAAAGTCTAATCCTTGCAACCAACCAACCAACCCACATCCTTGTACAATTCATTTCTAACATGTACAATCAGATTTCCTTACCTTCATCCCAAAGGGCCAATTCACCAAACATAAACATGAGAAGCACTTTTGATGCTGATAGGTATGTAGATGATGTGATTCTTCTGCCGTTTATTTTGTAACTTTTGTTTTTCCTTTGCACATACATTTGTATATTAATTTCTTTCAATATGTTCTTATTTACCTTTGTTCTAGTCAGTACTTAGCGGAGCTGCTGGCAGAACGCCAAAAGCTTGGACCTTTCATGCAAGTTCTACCCTTATGCACCAGACTCCTTAATCAAGGTCCGTTTGTTCCATATCCATGTATTCATGTATTTTTCTGTGAATTTTCTCCTATTTCTTCTCCATTCGTTTAGACTGATCTCTATTGTTTCATTTGAATTAGGCCATGTCATGGCAAAAATTACCTTTCTGGTTACTTGTACTAGTTTTTCACTGTTCTTTGTCTTCAAAGGTTTTGAATTGTGGTCGCAGTTTCGTTGCATTCCTCAATATTGTGAGAAATTGCGGACAAATGCGACCGATGCATCCACAATTGTGGTTGTAGAGATTCCAACAACCTTGCATTGCGGGTGGAATTGCAGCCAGGGACTGTTTATTGAAACCTTTATTTAAGGTTCTTTAAAATGCACTGAATTGTCAATTTCTGACCTTCACCAGCCTGAACCAGTTAATGCTTGAGAATGAATCTTGGTTACTAAATGCCTAAGGAATTAGAAGTTTAAACATGTATGTTTTGAAAAACAATCAACTGAATTACACTCTTCTTTTGCAAAGCTATCTTCCCAGTGATTATCTAGAATTTGTTTCTCTTGATCAATCAACAACAGGGAACATCTTAGAATGATACTTTTTGGGTGTCCCACAAAAAGAATATATGGTACTCAAAGATGGTGGCAATTTAGCCATTGCCTCCTTTCAGAGAAATGCAAAAATGTTTCTAGCTTTGAGACTTTATATAGTCTAAGAAAACAAAAATAGGCGTTGTCTTTTGCATGAGTAGAACAAACCTTCAAATGATCACTTTTATTCTTAATGGCATTCAGTTTTGATAATCAAGATGTTCATATAGATGGCATTCACTACACCTCCTAGTTCCTATGCATAATTTACAGTTGCCTTACTATCAGAAAGGTTGCATTAATACCATTCATGTTCCTTGATTCACTAATCTCTGTACAAGTTCTTATATTCACTATTACATTTTTATTATCAGAGATTTCAAGGGTTACTGGAAAGAATGAATTGGTGCAGACCCAAGGGTTTGGTGACTTTGATAGAATTCGATTCATAAATCCAAATCATATGGCTTCTCCAAACTCAACATCAAACTTTACTGGCTGGAACAGTCTGTCACATGAAGTAAGCACCTGAGTTTTATGTTCTATGCAGTGTATATCATTTATGTATTGTTGTAAAAAATCTGATTCTTAACCTGTATAGTTCTAGCACTAAATGTGTAGATTCCCTCTTCTCCATTGTGTCCAAGGTGGCAACATTGCCTCTATCAGAAATTTATATATGCTTTAATCTTTGTTGTATAACACAGTTTGATTTCTTTCTATCATGTACCGACATTCCTCTTATGTATCTGTTTCATTATTTCATTGTAATCTCTAGTTTCTTTTACTGATTTGTTAAACTTGTTATACATCAGAGGTTAGCTGGTATGCAGGGACTAAACATGGATTGGCAAACTTCATCCGTTGTTCCAAGTTCTCCCATTGTGAAGAAAATATTGCGCTTGGATATTCCTAAGGATAGCTATCCAAATGTAAGATTTGTAACATGCTTCACAGCACTTTACTATAAACAATAAATCAAGCTTATTATTATGATATTCTGATAGTTTTAGGACTTCAATTTCTATGCACTGTCAGTGTAAAAGTTTTACACTGTCAATGAATCAAATATCATGACTATGACTAGTATGACTTCCAATGTAATTATTGTAAAAGTCAATAAACTTGCTACATATGAAGATTTTGATTGATGATGATGACAATATAATGGGTGCTTGAACTATTTAGTTTTGTATTCTTTTAACCTTTGGGTTAATAAGGCTATTTTAATTTTCAGTTTAATTTTGTTGGCCGGCTTCTTGGCCCTAGGGGTAATTCACTGAAGCGAGTTGAAGCTACTACAGGGTGCCGTGTATTTATCAGAGGGAAAGGTTCAATTAAAGACTTAGACAAGGTAACATCCTCTGGTTTATGCATTGTTCACTAACTTTATGGAGCCTGATTTTCTTGTCATCAATTTTTCATAGTTTCTCCTTTAAATTTGTTGAGTACTTTTGTTGTTTCCACATCAATGTTATTTGTGAGCTCTAAATTTGTTCTAATTTTCTCACTATAAAGGAAGAGTTGTTAAGAGGAAGGCCTGGCTATGAGCACCTGAATGATCCACTTCACATTTTAATTGAAGCTGAACTACCTGCCAGTGTTGTTGATGTAAGGTTGAGGCAAGCACAGGAAATCATACAAGAACTACTTAAACCAGTGGTATTTTTCTCCCTTTCCAACTACGTTACAGAGTTTACAACTTTTTGATTCTTTATAGTGACTTTTTACATGGAAATAGTCATTTTTCTTGTTTTGACTGACATGTCAAATATCTATACGATATTTTATAGTGTGGTAAATTATCAACCAACTTAGTCTGATAGTGACATTTTAATTGAAAAAAGTAAAATGTTTTAAAGTGAGGACTAAACTGAAACCAGAAAATGTGATGAGAGATTTTTTGCAACTTTTTCCCTCTGTATCATGGCTACCACTTATGGTTAACAGTGTGACTAACTAATGAAAGGCAATATTGTAAGCATATTAAACCATGCCCTTCTTTCTGCACAAAATTGTATTTGTTTTTCTTTTCCTTCAAAGGAAAGCCTATACCAGGAAAAGTGCTACAAATATTTTATTGTGCCTTCTTTTCAAACAAATTTTCTATGAACAAAGTAACATGATGGAAATATCTTGTGTAGTTAAGAAAGTTTTTCTGATTCTCCTCCCCTTTCATGTGCAGGATGAGTCACAGGACATTTACAAAAGACAACAACTAAGAGAACTAGCTATGCTTAATTCCAATTTCAGAGAAGAGAGCCCTCAACTGAGTGGTAGCATCTCTCCATTCACTTCTAATGAAATAAAACGGGTCAAAACTGATCAATAGTGATTATATGTTGAGAATTGTTGCATTCCTTGAATGCTGAATGCTTCCTGTAACTAAATTTTGTAAAGCTGCAATGAAAAGACCTTGCTGATTTGATGCTGCTGATTTGAAGAACAAAATAAAGGAGAGAAACAACATAGTATTCATTGTCACTAGACAAGAACAAAAACTATTCAACTACATTTTGACCTATTTATGGCCCCATTATCATAATGATATTTTTTTTATCTTAAAACTGTCTATTTGCAGTATTGGAAAGATATGTTTTCATATCAGATGTACTTCAACTTCTTCTTATATCTGCAATTTTTCTAGTTGAGTTGCACTTATATTTATCTAAAAAATTGACTTCACTCAAATCCTTATCACATGCATGACCATATGTAACTATGCATGTTTGCTACAGTGTACTATTTATCTACAAAGCACAATAATTTCTCAATATCATGTGACAAAGTTTGGCATATGTTACTGAGCATAAAAAGTATTTCACTACTTGTTCTCATTGTGGCCACTTCTTTGATAAAAAGTTTGGCCAAATGAGCACCAAGCAAAAACAATTGTGCTATATGCACTTTTTAACAAACCCCTTTTGTAGCACAAAATCATGTCTTGGGGTTAACATCAATGGTGGGGGCCTTAGAATTTATTGTTGATGTTGATGTTATTGACCATGACTATGGTGATAGTCTAAAAAGACAAACTAACCTTCTTGTAGGTTGACTCATAGATCATTGTCTGTGTAAAGTTGGGGATATTCTAGATTGCATTTCTCCACCATTCATGCAGCAATCATTTCACTATGGACATCACTTGCTTTCTTCAACCCTTTATGAACCTCCTTTACACCCCATAAAGATAAACTTTTTCTTGGATGGGAATAAAGATGAACTCAAAGATGCTTTTCTACTAAATCGATCTATCAGATGACTTCATTGTATCATTATAAAATCAGGTCAGAAATCAGTTTCTACTAAATGGATTTCAACCTGTTTTTCTGTCACTGATGTTGAGATTGAAGAACAGAAATGAGCTTTTCGAAGTCCATTTTTCATCATAAGGAGCAAAAGAATGTGTTTAAATGAATGTTTGACTATTATGTTGGTTCAAAATAAAAGTTGAATTTGGGAAACAATTGTACTTGGAAGTGTTTTTCATATTTCTAAGGGTTGGTTTTGAATAGCTTATTTTGCTTAATGGTTTTTTATACATTGAAATATTAATTCAACTTTAGAGTGAGAGTTCTTCTCACGGACGTAAATTTTTAAAATTAAACTTGCTAAACTTTTAAAAAAGAATAATGTAAGGTTCTCGAAATTTAAAACCTCCACCTGTCAAATCAACCCATTAATGGTCCTAAACCCTGTCCAGAAATTTTATTAAGAAACGCCCCACCCCCTCGTTCTGAACACCATTTAATGCAGCTCTCGCCAACGTGCATGCCATTAAAACGCACTCACCTCACTCTGCATGCAACTGCCAAGTGTCACTTTGGAACATTCGAAAACGTTAATGGAATCCAAGTGGCAGTAGGTGAATGGACGTCCGTCTCTTACGTGGGGAGAGAAATTAATTTTTCTGAAAAACACTCTTCCCACTCTTCTGCATGCTTCGTCTTCTTCCCCAAACTTTTGATTTCCAAATTCTCTAACTTCTCTCTAGAACCTCCATCTTCTCTCTACCATAAATCACTTTCTTCTTCTCCGGTCAAATTTCAGAGACCGTAGAAGAGATCCAGACGTCCTAAGCTTTCCATCAACCCGAACAAGTTCAAGTCTTGAATCTGGTAAGTTTGTCCCTTAGTTGTCCATTATTAGGTCTCATGCAAAACCAAATAGGGTTACTTGCATTCTCCTTGTCTGAATCAAACTTTGGTTCTGTAAATGGTTGTAGTTCGCAAGAGTTGAGTGATCTGAGGATAGAAGTGGTAGTTGGGGCGAATCCAGAATTTACACGTTAGGACGTTCGTTCACTACTGGACCAGGTAAGGGAAGCTTAGTAATATAATTTATACTTGTATTGTATTAGACATGATATGAACTGAATGTATGAGATGTATGCTGGTTAGTATGCATGATCGAACGTTGCTGTACTGGATGAATATGATATGGTTGGTTGAAAGTATGATATGGGTGATACGTGAGAATATGAATATACATGTTTAGAAGCGAATGAATGTAAGTGAAACTTGAATATCAACTTCCTTATGATAACGTATGTCCGACATTAAACGTTTCTCGACCGTTGGTGTTCTAGTAAACTTCTTTGAATTGGAATACTTTCTTTGGGAAGGATTCTGGTTGGGCATGAGCTATGTAGGTCTTTTACTTAGAGCTCATAATGAGCAGTGTCGATCTTACACATAGTAATTGTATTGGGTAGACTCGGTCTACACAAGCGCTCTTACTCTTCTCTTAAAAAACCCTTGGTAATACAGATCATCCATCTGTGTCGACCGACAGTGTCGAGCATCCTTGTAATACAGATCATCCATCTGAGTCGACCGACAGTGTCGAGCATCCTTGTAAAACAGATCATCCATCTGAGTCGACCGACAGTATCGAACATCCTTGTAATACGGATCATCCATCTGTGTCGATCAATACGGCGAGCACCTTGTATAACAATCATCCCTCTATCGACCGACAGTGTCGAACATCCTTGTATACAGATCATCCATCTGTGTCGACCGACAGTGTCGAGCATCCTTGTAATACGGATCATCCATCTGTGTCGATCAATAGCGTCGAGCATCCTTGTAGACATATCCTTCATTTGTGTCGACCAACAGTGTCGAGCACCCTTGGTAATACAGATCATCCCATATGTTGCGACCGACAGTGTCGAGCATCCTGTAATGCAGACCATTCATCTGTGTCGACGACAGTGTCGATACCGTGTTAATACAGGTTGTTCATCTATCTGGTAGTCGGTATTACTTATTTTGGAATGATGAACATTATATGAGATGAATAAATGTTTGTGAAATTCGAACGAGTATTCCAAGGAGGAACGTCTCTATGACTAAATGTGATATGTTGTATAGTATGACATGGTAAAATCGCTGATGGCTGTTCATCCTGATATTCCTGAGTGCTCGCCTCATGTAGAGGGAGTAGGTCATGCGTGGGAATGAGCAGGATACCTAGTCCTATTGAGTACTTTGGACTGATAGGGTTAACCTCGGTTGGCAGCTGATGGATGGTTCCAGTTACTACATCACCCGGGTGCACGAACGCCTGCGGTTACATGGATTCATACAGTCCGGACCGTCGTTATTTATGAGAGTGGGATGATTTACTCTATGTGATTTATTTGTGTATTTCTTGTATGTTGATTTCATATGTTAAAAATTTATATGAGTTGTATGAATTAAATTACCTAAGCTTACCCTGTGTTTATCTCCTTGTGTTGTCGTTCGTCTGTGTACGTCCGTCTTGTCTATGCAATGATCATCCGTGTGGATGTGAGCAGACGGAGAGATGTTGCTTGAAGAAACTCTGGAAGAAGAAAATTTGGAGGACGCCAATCTGGTCGAAGTAGAGGTTAAAGTCGAGCCCTAGAACGCTCGTTTAGTTGTAGACTTTAGTGTTTGTGTTTAGATGTTTGGACGTTCGGTTAAAGTTTGTAAAACCGTTCGTCTTTAAAATTTGAAATACTGATGTATGGTGGTTTCTCTTTGTACTTAAGCAGCGTTCGTTTTGGAATTATTATTATTAGTGTAAGACTACATGTTTTAACTGTTAATTGTAATTAATTCTAAATTATAGTGATTACTGTATTTTGGGATGTTACAATTAAAGATTACTTTATATTTGATATTTCATCAGTTAACTTTATCTTTAACTTATAATAATCTTTTTAAAATTTAAGAATATAGGATATGAAGTTACATATCTAAAAATTAGTATATATAGATGATGAAAAATATATTATGTTAGTCCATGCATATATTATTCAAAAAGAAATATTAAAAAAATATCATTAAAATTAATATTAAATTATATTTATTTCTACATTCGTTCTAAAAGTAACAGTAACGTTTTATCTAAGTTCTTATGCGATCGGACTCAGGAGTCCAATCCATAAATAATTTTCTATACCAAAAAAAAAAACTGACAAGTTCATTAATAATAACTCAATATATTCTTTTTAATATTTATTTATTAAGATTAATTTCGCGTATTTGTATTATATTTGTGTGATTTGGGTCTTAGATTTATATTGCGTAAATTGACTAAATTACACAAATAGTTTCTTTAGGTTTTGAAGAATTACGTTGATACTGCATTTGTTAATAATACACAAATATTTTATTTTTAAAATATTACATTGTCCCATTCTTTTGTCACATGTCATCCTTCTTAAGTTTTAATAATATTACATCATATCTTAAATTTTAAACACAATATATATATACAAAACTATAATTTAGGAAAACTTCGTGGACTTTCAATGTAATTTATTTTATATATTATAATTGTGTAATTCTTATTATTATTAATTTTTTAGGTTAAAGTATATTTTTCGACTCCTTATTTACATATTTGAATTCGTACATATAAAATTTATTTATGTATTTTTAAAATGTGCGAAATTCATCTTCATTTTGGACGGCGTTACTTTTGTGATCAGCCGACGGCGAGTTGGGTCAACGTGTAGGAAAATCAATATCGATTGGTGGAAGCCATCTGGTTTCGCGCAAGAGAAGGAGTAAAGGGAAAGGTTCGCATTGACGCTAGCAAAGCCACTTGTAGTGATAATGGTATTCGACGACGATCCTGGCTAGCAAGAGGAACGCAACGGCAAGCTGCGGCTAGTGCAGACATCGCTCGTTAGAGGAAGAGCGAAGGGTTTTGGCCTGGTTGCCTTTGGTGCGCGTGCTTAAAAAGGAGAAGATGGAGGGAGGAGGTGAACGCTGGCGATTCCTGGAGATGAGAAGAAGATGAAAGAGAAAAAGAAAAAAAAAAAGAAATGGAAAAGAAAATAAAAATTAAAAAAAACTATTTTTTTTTTAAATTACACGGCATTTCTTATTTTAAATTATTAATCAGACATGTCAAATACCACTTGGCTACGTCATCTTCTTCAATAAACAAATTATCACAAAATTAACACTGGACAAAATATATTTAACTATTTTTTTAATTGATTTTTTCAATGTTTAAGTAAATAATAATATAACAGTTATTTATTATGTTATTTGACACATGTATTAATGATATTTGGTTGTAATTGCTAGAATTGTAATTAAGTCACAAACTTTTTTTATTTAATCAAGATAATATATTTTTTTTCTAAAAGTTTGAAGAACTAAAGTTCCAATTAAGTCTATCTATTACCATATACTTATTTTGTAAAACCCAACAAAATAGTATTTTAGTAATGGTCTTAATTTAA